ATATATATATATATATATATATATATATATATATATATATATATATATATATATATACATACATATATTTATTTTTTCTTTATAAGTACATATGTTATTACGTATTTATTATTCTTACTTTTTCCCTTATATAAATCCATTTTTATTGCTAAATAACTTTATTTTGATTTTAAATATTAAAAGCGATTTTCTTATATCACTTATATGTTGGCGCATGTTATTTTGCTTATATATAATTGATATAAGATTATTTATTATAATATTTAGAACCAAAAATTAAGTTATTATACACGATAATAGAAAGAAGACTAATTAAATCTAGCGGGAAAGCCGCCATATTGATTTAATTCGCCTCCGCCACTATCAAATGGTGTTCGTTTCAATGTCCTCGTCATTTGTATGTCAGTTTGCCTACCCTGTAGCGGGATTCTGTAATTTCTTAACGACGATAATCGTTATCGTTACTTAACGACAATTGTCGCTTGCGCGACCAACGATCGTTATTGTAGGTGATTCTGTATCATGGCTTTAACGATTGTAATCGTTGCAAAAATCGTAACAGACATATCGAAATAGTTCGATAAATGTGCAACGTTGTCAGACTTCAAGCAATAAAAATCTAGTAATTTTCTAGAGAATTTATGAACGCGACGCACGAAACTTATTTATGGATAGACTTCATTCAGATTAGTCTATGGTTTTCAATCAATTTGTGAGTGACGGTTAACCGGGTTAACCTATAGAGGATCTCATTGATAAGAAATTTTTGTCTTTTGTGACCTTTTCAACAATATTTTTGCCACTCGTGTATAAATTAATCAATAAAGAAATGTCACAGTCAATCCTATATAGGTATGTATTGTAATATAAATAAATATACATATGATAAAATATCGACCTTTATTTCACAGCAAAAAAAGAAGAACTGCACGAGCTTCACAGTTACAGTTGACAAAAATGATTGATTTTTTTTACTTAAATAAGGGTCTCGCAGAAGGAGAGTTAAATACTCTACATGGAAAAGAAGAATCTCAGCAAAAGTGGAAAGAATTAGCAAATGAATTGAATTCTTTTCAAGGAGCGACAAAAATGGTTGAACAATGGCAAGTGATATGAAAAATTATATATGCATATATTTATTATAAGTTCCAAATCTTGCAAGTTCTGTGTGATAACATGTGAATCTGTTCATATACATATTTCAGGTTTGGAGGGACTTAAAAAGTCGTACTTCTATTAAAGTTAAAGATCTGCGGAAGGTGAAAAGATTGACAGGGAATAAAGCTATTACACTAACAGATTTGACGGAACTTGAACAACGTGTAATTGGAGTGATAGGAGGCAAGTACGTTGAAGGAAGTAAATGTGCAGACAATATCCCTGATGAGGAGGTAATTTTTATAAACTTTTAAATAATATATATGTCGTAATATATTATATTAGTAATTGTTTTTTTACGTATGTACAATACTTATTTGTCTATGTATATAGAATTTGCTGGAAGAACTTGAACATGGAAACAATTCAGTTTTATCAGAGATTCCACAAGTAATAAGTGTTTGTACAAATATCTCAGAGGTTTCTCAAGTCTCACAAGATTTAAATGGTAAGAAACTGAATCATTGTTATTTCTGTTATGTTTTATAAAGTCTGTCTACAGATTTTCCTCCATTTATAGTTATATTTTTTTACTTCTGGTTATTGTTAAATTTCAAAATCTATTATTGGAATTGCTCGATTTCTTTAAGATGTCTTTAAAAATGTATAATATATAATTACTATTCACGCAGAAAATTTTCAACACTAACATATTAAAGTACAAAATATTTCTTTGTTTGCAGCTAATTCTTTGGATAATATCGATTTATATGATAAGGACTTAATTCTCGATTCTGTTTCCGACGACTGTTTATTTGAGAATAACTCTTCAGAACATAACGCAATAATTAGAATTGAAGATAACATTGATGTTACTCAGAATCTCGCTAACTGTGATTTAAGAAAGGCTCCAAAAAATATATCTTTTAGTACAATAAAAAATACTCAGTCTCCATCATTAAGGCCAGCAAAACAATCTTCACCAAAAATTAATGTGCTAACTTCGAGAAAATGTAAGGTTAAATTACTATGTAGATTATAATATTTTCCAAATTATTTTTTGAAGCGTTTTTTTTTATTTATATTTATATTTATAACTTGTAAAGCGTATTTAATTATAGCTTTTTACAGTTACAACTATGCATAAAATTTGTGTTGTTTTTCATAAAAAGTATGTTTCTCATCTTATTAATTATTTCATCTTATCAATTATTATAGTTAATCGAGTTACATCGTCTGGATCATTGAAGAAGCACTTCCAATTCATTGCTCAGAAACAGGCCGATGCTGAATTTGTAAGTATTTGCAAAATCTTCAATTAACGTCGAATGTGATTTTTTTAAAAACAAATGTAGATAATTTGTGAATTTTATTCAAATTTGCAGATACATGCTGAGTCTGCCAAAATTCAAGCAGAGGCATCTAAAATGAACGCACTCGCAATAACTGAAATTGCACATGCAATAACAAAGTTAGCAGATACTGCTGCTGTACAAGCCATTAATGACAATGAACGAATACAAGTATTTAACAAACTTACAACAGTCTTAGAAAATCTGGCACCTACTTATCTTAACGAATAATTTCAATATTATGTGATCTCTCAGTTATAGTTTATTTTGTCATATATACTTCAAAAATTTTTTTTAAAACAAATAGTTCCTGGAGAATTCAAGACTGCAAGAACTTTTCTGCTAAATTTGATTCGTCGTAACGTACATTGCAATTTTTTAAGTATAATCTAATCTATAGTACTTACAATTATTATTATTTGTATTCAATAATTTGTGTTATTTGAATATGAGTACATTAACGATAAACAATATTGCAATATTAAGTTAAATTTTAGGATAAACCGAGTTGTATTTTGTACTTTTATGAAGTTTTATTATGTATACGTTACAATACGTACAAACGCAAAGTTGTGATATTACTATAAGGATATATTACCAAAGAAATATATAATAATATATAGTAACGTATTTTAAAGCAGATTTGTTTCTTTTCCAATTATTTTAGTATTTATATTCAATGTGTAGGTATTGTTGATTGTATACAAATGCTACTTTTTAACTGAATAAAATTATTTGCAATTATGTCTGCTTTTCATTACACTAAAATAAATTGAAATGAACTCAATTATATTAGATGGTAAACTTAGTTCCTGCGGCTCACAGTTAGATGACGTTAGTTGTAGGTGTAATTTATTTTGACATCTGAAACTGGCTGCATTTTAGGGGAGCGGTGCACTTGGACACGGTGCATTTGGACACAGCCAATCACAGCACCGTGTGATTAGAGACATTTGTAGGGTCCCTTGGAACAGCAGCGGTGCACTTGGACACGGTGCATTTGGACACAGCCAATCACAGCACCGTATGATTAGAGACATTTGTAGGGTCCCTTGGAACAGCGACTTGTGATTGGACTGTGTCCAATTGCCCCGTGTCCAACTGATATACACCCCCTTGGAACAGCGACTTGTGATTGGATTGTGTCCAATTGTCCCGTGTCCAACTGATATACACCCGCATTTTAGAGGTTAAACGTTTGTCAATAAATTTCAGTGCGAAGAGATTCATTTAAGCGAGCAGTGCTATCTTTTCTTTTGATTAAATATGGAACGTGATAAGTTGTTTTTTCGACATGTGCTGCTTCATTACTTTGACTTGAAAAAAACTGCAGCTGCAGCTCATAAATTGCTTTTCGAAGCTTATGGCAATTATGCTCCATCAGAAAGAACATGCCAAGTATAGAGTAAGTATGGGAGCGATGCACTTGGACACAGTACAATTGGACACGTTGCAAATGGACACGTTGCAAATGGACACGGCATTTGACACACAGTTCAATTGGACACGGTGCGTTTGGACACGAAAGAAAATGCACGACGTTCAGTTACACACCGTTCATTTGGACACCGTTCAGTTGGACACCGTTTACTTGGACACAGTTCAGTTGGACACCGTTCAAGTGCCCACAGTTCACTTGGACACAGAAGGATGCTCACTGTTCACTTGGACACCGTTCACTTGGACACTGTTCATTTGGACACCGTTCACTTGGACA